CCCACACCCACACCCACACCCACACCCACACCCACACCCACACCCACCCATCTTCAAACATGTCTGCAACCACTTATACACCCATGTTTCCCCCAATCACTGGTGCCACTTCGGCGGCAAATAGGCGATAGCACTGCCAGCTCCAACTACAGGTTTGGGTGTGTCTCAGGAAGAACGGGAGATGCATCAAACCACCCTGAAGAAACTTGGCATACAACAAGAACAGCCCGTTGAAACGGGCCTTTCCAACTCAATATATGGGGTCATGCCATGTCCACAACGCTCCTTCTTCTCCGTACGGCGTACACCAGGAGCTTGTCGCTGAGGCGACCCTAAAGGCCATGCACAAGTGCTGCGATGCTGTTGGCTGAAAGGAATTGGCAGCAAAATATATAATATTGCATATAGCATTTATAACTATATACTTGTACTAACATTTCAGCTGTATCACAATAGAGTCTTATCATGCACAGGAATCTTGCTTCCTGATGTCGACCAGTTGGACCACGGCCGCATCTCAGAAGCCTGTCTCATGGCATTGGCATTTGCACTTTTGCCTTGGGTGTTTTGCGTTGCATCAGGACCCCACCCTGCTCATGGCCTCTGATGTGAAAAACTGCTCGTGGACTATGCGAGATGGGGTCCCACCCTGTGGGACAAAACACCCTTGCGCGCTCATCTGGGATTTCTCAAAAATAGGGGGACCGGCCGTGACCGGCGCCATTTCATGGCAACCCTATCCTTGGAAACCCCATGTATTGAATTGGGGGTCCTCAACCTTCGACGAGAACCGAAAACTCACTGCAGCCTACGCAAACCCCTCACACGTCCACACGCGAGGAAGCGTCTGTTGGCTTGAGGAAGATTGCTCAGCCGAGCTGTGCTTGCTTTGGACCAGCTAGTTATTGAGAGTATTAATAGGCAACCTGATGAGCCACTTGACGAGCAGGTACAACGACTTTGAGGAGTCTCCCATCAAACATGCTTACCCTCCTGGAGATTCACGTGGATCCCCAAAACCAATGTTGTAGAGGAAATGGTTGAAACCATGGGTCAATTCTCAGGGTGCATGTTC